TCTGCTGTCTCTGCTTCGTACACGCAATCCAACTGTGCTTCATCTCTTCTAGCCACAGATCAGCTGTGTGTTTCTGTGACTTTCTAGGGCTGATACCATCCTGGAAATCATAAGAGAAGTTAATAATCTGTTCTGTGAAACCGATGTTACATTTCTGCTCTGGTTTCAAGACAGACCAAGTATGTCCCATTAAACTCAATGAAAAGTGTAACCAGGTGCCTTGACAGGGCAGGTTAGAAATACAGCTTATTTTTCCCCTCCAGCTCTCCTCAAATACACATAAGGTTTATAGATAATATTTTCCATTAGCCTAAAGCATCGTTTTTAGTATCAAGTGGCTCTCTTGTGACTCTTTATCACTGTCATGTCAAGCTGAAATGTGTGCAGAGCAGAGCAGGAGTGCTTTCTAGCCCACTTTGTATAGATTTAAATGTATATATTATGCAAGGCAGTAGGGGATCAGACTCAGTGGAGTAACTTCAGAAATAATTGAAAGCAGGACTTGTTCCTGGTACTCATAAAATGGCAGCAGTAACTCCTCAAGGTTCACACACAGTTTGAGCTTTTAATATTCTGCTGTGCCATTCTATGGCCAGGAGTGAAAAGTCAGATCCTTTCAGTTCTCTTGTAACTTAGCAGAAAGCTGTAAGGGGTAAATCAGAGATAAAGAGAAGTAATTAACTTTTTCAGAAGTCACTTTCAGCCAGGAGAATTTAAGTCTTGCTTTTGATCTTTCAAATCAACCATGAACCTTGCATTCATTTTATGTTGTATAGTATAATTATATAGAATTACATCTTATAATATAGAAATGGAACTTCACTATAGACAAAATGAAGTGTGGCAAGTGTTTTGGAGACAATACAAAGAAGTAAACATGAAGCATATGAAAAGCTTAATCAATAAGACAACAATTTCAAAATGAAAACATGAGCTGCTAGAGAATCCTGATAAATCACATCAGTTGTGTGGAGCAGCTCTATTGGATTAAATCACAGTGATGAGAAGCAAAACACATCAAACACAAAGAATTAATTCTCTCACTGTCTCAAACATTTATTTCAGTTTGAAGTTGTAGGTTTAGGAACTAATTTCCTATATGAAGACTGAAGAAAGAAGCAGCAGAGACAAATCAGCCTCTCCCCAACCCTCAGGAGAATCATAGAATAGTTAGGGTTGGAAAGGACCTTAAGATCATCCAGCTCTAACTCCCCTGCCATGGGCAGGGACACCTCATGCTAAACCATCTCACCCAAGGCTTCATCCAGCCTGGTCTTGAACATTGCCAGGGATGGAGCATTCACAACCTCCCTGGGCAACCCATTCCAGTGCCTCACCACCCTAACAGGAAAGAATTTCCTTCTTGTATCCAGTCTAAACTTCCCATGTTTAAGTTTGAACCCATCACCCCTTGTCCTGTCACTCCAGTCCCTAATGAAGAGTCCCTCCCCAGTATCCTTATAGGCCCCCTTCAGATACTGGAAGCTGCTACGAGGTCTCCACACAGCCTTCTCTTCTCCAGGCTGAACAGCCCCAACTTTCTCATCCTGTCTTCATACAGGAGGTGCTCCAGTCCCCTGATCATCCTCGTGGCCTCCTCTGGACTTGTTCCAACAGTTCCATGTCCTTTTTATGCTGAGGACACCAGAACTGCACACAATGCTCCAAGTGAGGTCTCCCGAGAGGAGAGTAGAGGGGCAGGATCACCTCCTTGGACCTGCTGGTCTCACGCTCCTTTTGGTGCAGCCCAGGATACGGTTGCTTTCTGGGCTGTGACGCACACTGAAGCCGCTTCATGTTCATTTTCTCATCAACCAACACCCCCAAGTCCTTCTCTGCAGGGCTGCTGTGAGGGAGAGAGGGAAAAGAAAGAAGATAAAACAGGTGATGTGCATGAAACAGAGATGGATGGGAGGATTTACTGTTCTTTGCAACTAGCTGTCAGCCCTTTTCCCTTCCTCCCTGCCCTCAGCCCAGATTATTAGGGTGCCTCTGCTCTGTGTCATGTTTGAGATCCATGGTTAAAGTGAAGTTCATGGTTCTGTTGGCAATGGTGCAGCTCATGGCGGTATCAGACTTACACTTGTGGGACAGCTCTCAAACTCTCACTGTTTGGGTTTTTTTTCTTGCTCTTTCTCCCTTCCCCAAATCCAGCAGGCTCTTTGATAATTATTTTAGGTCCTTAAATATGTGCCCCATTCAATAAATATGTTCCTAATGTCAATGATTAAGTGCATTAGCAGCTGAAAGAGCCCCTGGCCTTAACGATTGCAGTGCAGAACAATCAGAGCCATATCGCAGGCCTTCAAAATGTCACACATCTGCCATTGTAAATGAGCCACTATCACTTCTTTAAAACAGCTCTTTTGATCTATTCTAATGCACAAATTACAGTTGTTGTCACATCTTATTACTGTCATCATCTGGAAGCTTGAAATGTTTTGCTCTCTAATATCAAATTCCTAATAATTTACCTGCCTAAGACACAAAGGAGGGAATTGGGTAGAATACTCATTTTTCCTGGAGTTGCTCGATATTCCCTCAGCGGTATTTAATACACTTTGTTACAGTAATGCATTTTAAAACATTCAACGTATATATTTCCAGGGCAAACTATAAATTGTATTTTTCATCTCAAGTCCTCGTAGCACCAGGGAGCAGTGAGCAACCTGATGGACGGGACAGACAATGCGTTTTGTTGTCATTTAGCTAGCCACAGATCAACAGGACGACCGTGATCCTTTCAGTGGGGTGGGTAAGGGCTGTGCTGTGTGAAAGGGAGGTGTTAGATGCAATCCTGCTCAGTCAGGAGTAAAGGTGTCATGAGAAAAATGGCAGCAAATCCTGGCTGGTGACTGCATCACAGTATCATTCAACAGAGGACGGAGCACCCTGCAAGGGTGAGTGATGTGCAAAACTGGGTTTTGTGGCTTTTTAAACCAAAACAAATACTAGTCTCTTGGTTGTTTCAGTCCTTCAGTCTGTCAAATGAACACACGCACACAAAAACCCCAATGTAACATAGAGCTGAAGCTCGATCAGCAGAGGGGCACATTTTACATGGCTCAAAAGTAGGACCTCTATGCCTACAGCAGCTGTGAGCAGTCTGTCAAGGACTATTGAACAAAAAAGGCCTTGGAATAAGTTGCCTGGGCATTCCTTCCATATATTTGGAGGAAAATGCTTAATAAATGGTATATTTGCTTGTACCCCACCAGCACCTGTAGACAGGACATGGTGTGCAGAGGGCTTTGCATCTGCAGGGGGAAAAGTCCATTCAAGGGCAGGGAGTGGAAATACTGCTGGGAACAGCAAAAAATACCAGTCAATGAGGATTCTCATGTCTGTGTTACAGAGGACATAAATTCCATCTTCCAAAAATCATAGACTCCTTCCCCACTTCCGTTCATGAACATTCTCAATGATTCCCGAGCAGCTGAAGTAAGCTTGGTGAATTCTGTCATGCTTCTTAACTGGAGAGAATACCTCCTAAGCATTTTTGTTGGCCTTTTAATGTCTGTGCCTGCAAATAGTATGGCTGTAAAATGAATTATAATGATGTGCTAAAGTGGAATAATCTGTCATTTTATTAAGCACTTTGTGAAGGAAATTGAGATTGCTGGTGCTGTATTTTCTTCGAATACGCTCCTTGTCCCTCTGTAGAACATGTGTGCAGCTCCTCAGGAAATGAGGATGCAAACCATATGGCCTGGGATGCCAGAGTGCATTTTCAGTGATAACACAGACATGTTACAGCAGTGTCTCCCAAAACACTAAGGGAATCTTCTACAGTTGTGTTGTATGCTATTTTTCATATTAAAATGATCTGTCAGTAACTCCAGTGATGAAGTGATGAAGCGGTTTCACCCTGTTGTCTTTATTCCCTGTTCACATATTCCTTCTTATGGCTCCCAAAGAAAAGGCTGTTTCTTTTGAGATGCAGTTTGATACTTTGGTTAAGCTCATGTGATTTTACTTGTGTGGATTTTTCTCTGTAATTAACTGTAGGACAGTTACTTTCAGCAAGTGTTTTTTACAGACAGAAATGTTAATACCTAAATGTGGGGAAGAACAGGTTTTCTCTTTGAGATTCCGGGGGGGGGTGGGGGGGTGGGGGTGTGTGTCACAGTGTAACAAGAAGCCACGTTTTTAGGAATATTTAGTCCTGTGGTTCTGCAGGATCTGTTATTTTTGTTATTCATTAACTGAATTGCAGGTTCTTTGGGAGAAGATTGGTTTTGAGCAGTTATTTCCTGAGCAGGGGTCACAAGGCACATCTGGAAGGTGTTGGGACACAGGGAGTGGAGCAGATGCAGTAAAGGGTCTTGGACTGAGAGCAGGACATGGATAACTGGTATTTCTTCTGCCATGGCTAAGGCAGGCAATTTGATGGTAGCTTTGCTCCATAGTTGATGGCAACCCAAAAATGCACTTACTCAGGCCCAATGTTTATTGATTCCTTTGATGTAATAACTTGGTAATGATCCTTATTAAGGACATCTCTGGCAAACAGGTGTTTAAAATCTAGCACAAAGTTATTTTATTAGTACTGAATTCTCAGACACAGAGATGAGTACTGCTTTCTTCTTTTTTCCTTACAGGAATTTGAATTCTGTTTTCTCCTCAGTTTTGAAATCAGTTTGGTACCACAGGGATAAATGCACATATTGCATTACAGGACAGTGTGATGTAGGCTGACACCAGGATAATGAACAGATATTTACAGTTACCTTTGGATCTGTGCAAAGCTACTTTGCTTCCATTGCTTTTCAGTTTTGTAAGCACTATTCAGTCAGTTACAATTGTGTGTAAAATCAAAGTGGAAACCACAGAATCAATACCTTAGAAACAAACAACATCTAGAAATCCCTGAGCCTGGAAGATCCTAAAAGAAGGAAAAGACACTTCTCCATATTCATGAGGTTTTACAGAAATGAATGTCAGAGTGATGAGAAGTATATCTGAGTGTAAAATGCCCGTGTTCATTAATCTCTTTTCAGGGCAGCACGTCAGCTTATCAGCTTTCTGGGAGCACAATTAAAGAGAGAAGATGTTCTGTCTTCGAAGCCATCAGTGGCTCCTCTTTGGTCTTGAGCAAGACAGATGCTGCTCAGGTAGGGTTCATCAGACAATCATATTTAGAGCTCTGTCAGGTCCATGATAAGTAGGAAAAAATGATAAGATTGGGGGTGTTTATTCACTCTCTCTGAGGGAGGTATGTTCTGGTTTATTTCTTGATTAAAAACCCTCCCATCCAAACTGTCATCTGAAGAGTTTAACTTTGCTGTAGACTTTTGGACCATATTGGCAGTTCCAGGACTGGAGGGTCATCTGAGGTTAAAAATAAACCCAAACCACCAAACTAAAAAGGTAATTCCCAGCAATCTGCTGAAATTTATTGGAGTTCTTGTGATAACAGGGCCATCGGCTGCTGCTCTGGGTGCCATGGAAACAGGCATCGCTGCAAACAGGGAAGGTGGCTTTCCTCTCATTCCTGTTTCAGAAAGAGAAAATAAGCTTTTGTGAGATGACTCGTTTAAAGGACTTTGCCCCTGTCTTGCCAGTGCATGTGGTCATTGCCCTGACAGAGGGACTGAGAGGTGTCTGCAAGAGGGGGAGTGCTGGCAGTACTCTTTTGGGGGATTTTCTGGGTTTTGGGCTCTTAATTTATGAGAGAGTTATCGAGTACTAGAGGGAGAGGTATCTTTAAGTGTTAATCTTGTCAGAGGATGCTCTTGTGGCTGATGTAATGCATTGGAGTTAAGGAAATCTGACTTAGATGCCTCAGTTAGCAGAGAGCTGTTCCAAGGCTGCTCTGCTCTGCTCTTCACCCTCCGCAGCTCCACCAAGCTGTTGGTGCCACGGTATGTCTGTGGCTCACAGGGACACTGCTCTGGTGGCAAGTGACCTGCATCTTGCGAAGAAGGTTACTGCTTTGAACCTTCAGACTTCCTCTGCAGCTCCTCCTCCGGGGTTGCTTAGAGCATGTGCAAACAAGGATGTTTAGAACCTGTACTGTAAACACTGACAGACAACTCTGAAGGCCTTTCAGGCTTGTGAACTAAAAATACAATAGCTATACAATGGTACCATTATTGCTAATCATAAACAAATAGGCAAATATGAAATCAAACATGCTTAGAGAGGTGTTTATCATCTATTTGTGCCTCTACTGGCGGCAGACATTTGTGTATTCCCATTCACACTGCATGAGCAAACAGGCAGGTTAATGCATCTTGGAGTATGTTTGGTCCTACTTCATAGCCTGTTTGACAATGCTGGCAAATACAAAGTTATACCTATTTGTGGTAGGGAATAATGCAGACATTAGGAGTGGTTCAGATATCCTTCACCTTTTTACCTTCACTGAGATTTTCAGCTGTGTGGAACCTTGTTACATGATATGGCTATTTATACAGCTGAGCTAGTACAGAGTGAAATGTAAGGAAGAATTCCTTAATTCTGCCATGGTACTTTGTCTGTGATGCAGCTTCAGCTGCAGTTTGGGCCTCCTGAATCTACACATCTTGGGCCAAACCAGTCAGTTCCTAATGATCTTGTATAGGCAATGGGGAGAAGGAAGGAAAGCATTTCAACAGGTACTGGTTAATTGTGCTTCTGCAGAACTGCTGGTTATTTTAACAGTGCTAAGGTGTAACAACCTGAGCACAGGCTTGGTAGTGCACCAGAAGACCTGAACGGAAGATGCTTATGCTATAATTATTATTATTACTTCTTAATTTTAAAATAGCTAAAATGCATTGAGAGATCTCCAGAGAATTAGTTTCTTCAATGTCCCAGTTGTTTGTGCTCTAGCTGATGTCTAGACTGATGCAGCCAGGCTTAGCCAGGAGGCCAAGAGGATGCTCATCACCCTAAAGGGGGAGGGAGAGAAAAACCCCGACATCACTGTGAACTCTTGCATTTGTTTCTGTTTCAGATAGGCCAAATTTTAACTCTTTTTTATGTGTTTCAGTGCTAGCCCCCTCTTCTTAATAAAACGTAGAATAGAATCATAAGGAGTAATTTCTCACTCCAAAAATTATTGATAGGAATCAGCACAAAGGTTTTACATTTGAAGCATGGCTGTGCAGCAGCAGGATTTAGAGAGCGTTTGCTGGAATTGTCATAGAGATCCTGAGATTGCTGCAATAAATGTCTAATAATTTAAGTGGTGAGCTTCATACCTCAAATGTAACAGCTGGAGGTTTCCATTTGAGGCTTCTTCTGCCTGCTTTGCTGAGTGGGAGGCAGGCTTCTTCCCCTCCAAACTCAGAGAACCCTATTAGATTAATGTGAGATTTTTGGTAAGACCTTACACGAGAAGAGTAATCTTAAGATATTGTGAAGTTGATAATGATTACATTTATATCAGATCTATGACAAATTCACATTTCTCTCTAAACTGCACATGTATTATTTATTCTTCATGTTATTCAGTAATACAGTAATTTGTTTTGCTTAAACTGATGCTTTTCCAATTTCTTTATGCTCGACTCTATTGTTTCTGTGCTTAAGTGAAGATGAAGCCAAGGAGATAGTCTGGAGCAATACACCATTGCATTAGAATCATAGAATAGTCAGGGTTGGAAAGGACCTTAAGATCATCCAGTTCCAATCCCCCTGCCATGGGCAGGGACACCTCACACTAAACCATGTTACCCAAGGCTCTGTGAAACCTGGCCTTGAACACCGCCAGGGATGGGGCATTCGCAGCTTCCTTGGGCAACCCATTCCAGTGCCTCACCACCCTTACAGGAAAGAATTTCCTCCTTATATCCAATCTAAACTTCCCCAGTTTTAATCCATTACCCCTTGTCCTATCACTAGAGTCCCCAACGAAGAGTCCCCCACAGCATCCCTATAGGCTCCCTTTGAGATACTGGAAGCTGCTACGAGGTCTCCACGCAGCTTCTCCTTTCCAGGCTGAACAGCCCCAGCTTTCTCAGCCTGTCTTCATACAGGAGGTGCTCCAGCCCCTGATCATCCTCGTGGCCTCCTCTGGACTTGTTCTAACTGTTCCATGTCCTTTTTATGCTGAGGACACCAGAACTGCACACAGTGCTCCAAGTGGGGTCTCCAGAGAGGAGAGCAGAGGGGCAGGATCACCTCCTTTGCACTGCTGGTCACGCTCCTTTTGATGCAGCCCAGGATACGGTTGCTTTCTGGGCTGTGAGCGCACACTGAAGCCGCCTCATGTTCATTTTCTCATCAGCCAACACCCCCAAGTCCTTCTCTGCAGGGATGCTCTGAATCTCTTCTCTGCCCAACCTGTAGCTGTGCCTGGGATTGCTCCGACCCAGGTGTAGGACCTTGCCCTTGGCATGGTTAAACTTCATGAGGTTGGCATCAGCCCACCTCACAAGCATGTCGAGGTCCCTCTGGATGGCATTCCTTCCCTCCAGGGTATCAACTGAACCACACAGCTTGGGGTCATCGGCAAACTTGCTGAGGGCGCACTCAATCCCACTGTCCGTGTCAGCGATGAAGATGTTGAACAAGACCGGTCCCAACCCCGACCCCTGAGGGACACCACTCATTACTGGTTTCCAGCCGGACACTGAGCCATTGACAACTCTTTGTGTGCAGCCATCCAGCCAGCTCTTTATCCACCGAGTGGTCCATCCATCAAATTGATGTCTCTAATTTAGAGACAAGGATGTCGTGTGGGACAGTGTCGAACGCTTTGCACAAGTCCAGGTAGATGACATCAACTGCTCTACCCCTGTCCATCAGTTCTGTAGCCCCATCATAGAAGGCCACCAGATTGGTCAGGCAGGATTTCCCCTTAGTGAAGCCCTGCTGGCTGTCACCAAGCACCTTGTTGATTTTCATGTGCCTTAGCATGCCTGCCAGGAGAATCTGCTCCAAGATTTTGCCAGGCACAGAGGTGAGACTGACTGGTCTGTAATTCCCCGGGTCATCCATTTTCCCCTTCTTGACAATGGGGGTTATATTTCCCTTTTTCCAGTCATCGGGAACTTCACCTGACTGCCAGGATTTCTCAAATATGATGGCCAGCGGCTTCGCAACTTCATTTGCCAGCTCCTTCAGGACCCACGGATGGATCTCATCAGGTCCCATGGACTTGTGCACATTCAGATTTTTAAGATGGCCTCGAACCAGTTCCTCTCCTACAGTGGGCGCAAGGTCTTCATTCTCACAGTCCCTGCGTCTGCCTTCCAAGACTTGGGTGGTTTGGTCAGAGCCTTTACCAGTGAAGACCGAGGCAAAGAAGTCATTCAGAACCTCAGCCTTCTCCAAATCCTATGTAGCCAGTTCTCCTGAGAGCTTCCTGAGGGGGCCTACATTCTCCCTAGTCTGTCTTTTATTTGCTGCATACCTGTAGAATCCCTTCCTGTTATGGTTCACATCCCTAGCCAAGTTTAATTCTGATTGGACCTTGGCTTTCCTAACCTGGTCCCTGGCTTCCCGGGCAACATCCCTGTATTCTCCCCATGCCACCTGTCCTTGCTTCCACCTTTTATAAGCCTCTTTTTTCATTTGAATTTTCCTCAGGAGCTCCTTATCCATCCAAGGAGGTCTCCTGGCCCTCCTGCTGCACTTCCTTCTGGCTGGGACAGAACACTCCCGATCTTGTAGCATGTGATCCTTGAATATCAACCAACAGTTTTGGGGCCCCTCTACCCTCTAGGGCTGTATCCCATGGAACCTTCCTAAGCAGGTTCCTGAAGAGGCCAAAGTCTGCTCTTTTGAAGTCCAGGGCAGTGAGCTTGCTGCACGCTCTTCTCACTGTCCTGAGGATCTCAAACTCTACCATCTCGTGATCGCTGCATCCAAGGCTGCCCTGGAGCATCACGTTTCCATCCAGCCCTTCCCTGTTGGTGGGCACGAGGTCAAGCACGGCACCTCTCCTTGTCAGCTCCTCTGTTACTTGCAGAAGGAAGTTGTCCTTCCACACAATCGAGGAACCTCCTGGATTGTTTGTGCCAGGCGATACCATTGTTCCAACAGATGTCAGGGTGGTTGAAGTCACCCATGAGAACAAGGGTCTGTGAGAGTGAGGCTTTTCCTATCCGTCTATAGAGCACTTCATCCACAGAGTCCTCTTGATTAGGTGGTCTGTAACAGATCCCCACAGTAATGTCTCCCATCGCTGTTCTCCCTTTAACCCTGACCCACAAACTCTCTGCTGACTGCTCACGTGTCCCCAGATGGAGTTCCATACTCCAGCCTATTTCTAACATAAATAGCAACTCCCCCTCCCCGCCTGATGGTGTTTTCTAAAGACCCTGTAGCCTTCCATTCCAACAATCCAGTCATAGGAGCCATCCCACCATGTTTCTGTGAGAAAATTCTCTGCTTTATCCATTTATATCTGTTTTCTGCGATTTTCAAGGTATATTGGA